GAGAACTGCAACTAATGTTTCTTGGCACGACGGCGTGGTACCGATTTTGACGGCGCAGCGAGCAGTGGTCCTCGTTATTTTTGTGGTGCGCAGTGGCTATGGTGGATCCCAGTATGGCCTATAGGTTGGACTGGGACTGTGCGGCAGTAGTACGTGGGTCGATGACATGCAGAAAGTGGAGTGAGTGCACGTGGCAGTGACGATTGGAGTTGCAGCACTTGCGGTTTGCGTCGGAAGGAATTTTTTTTTGGGGGGGAAGGGGGGGGGGCTCGCGGCACCTGCGGGTTTCACCGAGGGCCACCTTTATCCTTTTGCGGTGCGCAGTGCAAGTGGTTTTGAGTTTTGAACCACCTAGTATTGCGGCGATGGTATGGGACTGCATTGAGACCATCTGGGACCATTTTGGGACTAGGTGGGACTGGTTGTTGTGAGCGGCACCGACATATTAGGGTGGCTATTGTGAGCGGACATGGTGGTTGGAGGCGGCGTGGACTTGCGGCTGGTTGGGAAGTATCCTTGGTGGTCAAGGTGCTATCGAGACTGTGCTAGGATGATATGTGACGTTGGGATGATGACGTGAGATTTGATCATAGGAGCACCCTCCTAGAGGATTATCCCATTTGAATTCTCTAAGTGAACCCGGCCTTTGTGTGATCGGGCACTTGGAGAAGGACGCGGATTGTAACTCATGAGAAAGGTCACAACCTGTGGAATTGTGAGCCGCATATTCTTCTACGGTGATTATTTTCTTATGATTGGAATATTACCCGATTTTCTTGAGTAGGCCGGATCAAACTTCACTCAAGGTCAGTCAGTTGAATGACTCAGATTTTCCTTCACACCTGTGTGAGCCCACATTTTGCTTGACCCTGTTCATTGAATGTTCGTTGAAAAGGTTGAGAAGGTTGTGCGATTCATGCATGTGAGTGAAAAAGTCTGACTCGAGTATGGGATTGCACTGGTTTTCTCTTGAACTTGTTTCTTTTCTGTTTTGTGCAGGTAGGTAGAAGGATGCTTGCAAAGGAGGATTGATTATGCCTATTTGAGCTGAGGAAAATGATTGTCCCCTTTCTACTTTTCGCGTGCCTGCTTGTTAAGAAGATTTGTGTTATAAAAAATATTAATTTAGTGCATGTCGTAAAACGAATTCGATTGAAAGAAAGCGGATAAGGTTAAATGGACTTAACCTTTTCCCAAGGAATGACCCATTCTATCCCGAATGACCTCATCCACCTATACCTGTCCAAATGATTCTCAGTCTTTATCTCCTCTTATTTTTTTTTCGTTAAAGCTACCCCGAATTCATGAGAAATTAAAAAAAATATGAAAGCTACTTGCAGTGGACACATCTTCTATCTCTAGGAAGCATCTGGGGCCGGGGTTCGTTGCTTTAGGAGTCGACCGTGTTATCGACCCAGAGTGGACCGTTCCATGGGAGGGTACTTTGCCGATTCGGTGGAGACGGTCCAACTTTTGAGATTCGAGCCTTGTGCTCGGACGAGGAGGAGGAGTACCTAAGATCACTTCCTAAAGGAAGAGGTTTGCAACACATCAAGCAATGCCCCTGATCAAGAATCATCCGCAAAGCAGTCTGTCATCTAAGAAAATTGAGAAAGTATGGAGACACGTGTGAGCGTGGTTAAATTTTAGGTCAGCGATAGGTTGGAATGAATGACTTTGGCAGCACGTCTCATCAAGTCAAAACGAAGGCCGACCGTCTACCTTGTCGGCTGCATCACTGTTATTCTCAGTAAGCCAACTCCTCGTTGGCGGTTGTTTGATAGTTTCGTGGTGTTCGACCCGATGCGGTCGGATTGTTTTTTATCTGGTGTTGTTGAATGTATCAAATAATAATTTGGATGCTCCTAGTTGTTACTTTGGATTGAATGTGCATCCTATCGACTACGGTCGATTCCTTTCGATGTAACTATATATGGTTGTTACAACTTTCTTTTGATTGTGTGTTAAAAGAACTAGGATTAGTGTTGGGTTTCACGCTTGGTTGAGACCGTCCTAGTCGACCGACGTTTACTCCGTACCTAGGAGATCAGCGCCCTAGGAACGGACGACGGTCGGGTCCGCTTGGGGTTAACCAAGCGTATCTATACTACAGCGAACGAGAAAACGCCCTCGGCTGACCCACCTCTGCAATTGCATCTGAAAGCTTTTGCACGTGGGTCAGTAGCTCGGTAGGGATACGCCCCTAAGGGTGGTGACAACCCCTTAAGGAAGGAAAACTTATGCCCCGTGAGAACCTATCCTGTCGTAGGGGGGGACCACGGAATGTACAACTGGCGCACCCGGCTAGAGCGACGAAAGGAGCGACGTGACCGCGGTCGTCATGGCGGCTTGCAGGATTGTTCTAAGTCGTTCCCGAGTTGTCTTTTTATTTTTGTTTTGTTTAACTCCCACCTTTTTTGCAAAGGTCGGGAGGGCTGCCGACCTCTGCAAAAAAGGCGGGAGCTGATGTGCTCGACAAGTGGCGCCATTGCGGGGGATAACGACAAACTACCGTTGTCCCTAGCGGAACGACACTTGGGTATTTTATTTTATAATGGATAAATTGATCGTATTTTGATTATTTTATCTTTATCAATTGATTTTATTATCATTTTTATCTTGATGAATGATGTCTTGATTTTATTATGAAGATTACTTTGGTTATTTTTGAATATTCCAGTTGGGTTTAAATTCATAATATCTTGATATTAATTGTGTCATATTCTGTTATTGTTTTGGTATTCGAGTTATTATGTTGAAAGTTACCACTTTCATGTGTCATATTTTAATCGTATTATTTATCATGAACCTTGAGGTATTATTTTAATAAGTTGTTATTGTTATTGATGGAAACTATTTTTAAATGTTGTCAACCAAACGTTGACTTCCCTTTGATATTGTTTTGCAAATTTATTTAGTCATGCATCAGGTTTTAAATGATGTATATTTCGATTTATTACTTTACCCGGACCCCCGTTCATTTCGAGATTATTCGTTTCAGTGATGCATTTCTATGATTGAAGGCATTTGTACTATTGTTGAATATTATTTAGCTTGGATCGTTATGAAATTTCATGTGAAAGAATTTGTTGTAAGTTGTATTATTGCTGTTGAATATTTTTAAGGTAAATTTAAAGGCGTTATCATGTCACGACAATTTTCGAATGAATTTGTGAGTTCCGTAGGTGGTAGTGAAGCCCAAGCCGAAGCTATGCTCCTGGTCCATAGTGGGATGTTATCTTCCGTATCCTAAGTGGTTTAAGGAAATGAGACTACACTATCACTGAAAGGGAGGAAAGTGTTGAGATCCTGTTAGAATGTTGCATGTAAGGGTAAGCGACTATTGTTTGTCATGGGGGGAGGAGTGACTACCTAACCTCGTGCCAGACGTGGTCACCGTACCTCCATGATCGGGACCTAGTCAACCTCGACCGTGCGGGGTGGGGTTGTTCTACTCTGAGAAGAGGTTAACAAAGCCCTAAATTTTCAGGATTTTTTCAGGGTCATTATAACAAACGTCCCATACCTTTTACGCCAGACTTGTCACCAGTCCATAGAGTGAACACCAAATAAACCAACAACGAAAAAATAAATAAATAAAATTGATCAAAGAGGCCTTAAACCCCAAGACAAAAGTGCGTTTGCAGGCAAAATTCACTCTTTTCAGTTTTCAGGATTTTCAGGATTTTTCGGGGTTGGCCAAAACAGTGAACACCAAGACCCCAACAAACACCAAACTTGGCACACACAGACCTTAACCAAAAATAAGGCAAGGCTATAAAAAAAAATAAAAAAATAAAATAAAAAATAATCTCCAATGCACTTTTCAGGGTTGGGGGTGTTACCTTGGGGCTGAATAGTGGGGGTCCCTGTTAACCTTTGGTGCCTATTCTATATGTAGAAGACTAATGGGGTCAAAAACACTGGAATCAGAGAGAATGTGGTGAGGCTCGAATATAAAGCGGGGCTTGATGTCGAGATGTTATCCTCATACAGATTACACCACTCCTTGATGCATTCACAAGAGGTTCAGATGTAACGGATATGGTAACTTATGTGAAACGGAATGAGGATCATAACTTGGTCAGGGAACTTTGAACGAATGGTTTCTCTCATGAATGGTTAGTTCGGATTCTGTCTGGGCCGCCCAACTTAGGCAGCCCCCCAACGTGCTCATAGACTAGGATATCTACCATGGCCCGAGCATCTATGGCGTAAGGAGCTGAGGTGTAAGATGGTGGTTCTCCTGTTCCGCCAACGGTAATTTTCTCGCTATGGAGTTACCGCCGCCGTAATTCGAACGTCGCCCGTAGGCTGTCGCGTGTACTGCTTGGATTAGCGCTCGGAATTAGCGCTGGCGCTAGCGCTACCGGGCCCCTTCGCCGCCAGGCCCGCGCACCTCACAGCTTTTTTTTCGTCTCCCCAACAAGATTTCAATGGTAAGTTTTCCCTTCACGGAATTACCGCCGCCGTAGTAGCGGAAAACGAAACGGGAAAGTGCTGACGCTAGCGCTAGCGCCAGTGCTGGTTACCGCTAGGAATTAGCGCAGCGGATTAGCGCTACCGGGCCCCTTCGCCGTCAGCCCCTTTTTTTCGAAAAGTAAAATTTTCGAAATGCCCCTCTGACTTCTATTTGTTTGCGGTATGCCCCTCCAACGGCGGACGTATTTTGTTGTGCCCTGGGGCCTCTGAAGTTTCCTGCAGGCCCCTGTCAGTGAGGGGCACAACTTTCCAGCATGACCCTGTGTCCTTGTCCATTCTGTTCAGCTGGTCGCATCTGGATCCGAACTCGGGTCTCTATTTCAACAATTCATGGGTGTTCAGAAATCCTGCCAGCCACAGCCTAAACTGTGCATGGCATATATAACTGGCGCTTTTTACAGTTCATGGGTTCAACAACCGAGGGGGTTCTCACACCAGCTTTTTCTTAATTGTATCTCACCTCATTTACGACCAGAACCGGATGCATCTGTCTCGAATTGCGTTGATATTAACGGCGGTGCCGGAAAGGACGAGCTGTGTCTGGTCGCTGTTCTCCCACTAGCCCCTATTGTTGATTTCTGACCGTCGATCTTCGTAATCGAGGGTTAAAAATTGAATAATCCAGGGTAGTGGGATCTGACCCTTACTTAGCCGCAAGTCATTCCGTCCTGATTGGTGGTGATAATTGGGTTAACAGCTCGGCGCGCAGCTTCCTTCCTATGGTTATTGGTCTAGAAGGTGTCGCTTCTCGTTCTCGTTTCTTGCTGGGATTGGGAGGAAACACGTGGCGTTTAGGAGGAGGAGGAGGAGGAGGACGAAGAGCAGGAGGAGGAGGCCGAAGAGGAGGGGGAACAGGACGAATTGGAGGGAGAGAGAGGTAGGGCTTTGCTACCCTCGCTAGGGGAGAGGGAGGTAGGAAAAGGCGAGCCTCGTCTGTCGTAACGGGCAAACACGAGTTTCAACAACAATTAAGGAGAGACGGTCAATATGAGAGCGGCAACGATAAATCGTCTGTAACTAAGGAAGAGAACGAGGGGCACAAGAAGGTGTGCACTCCCATCGCCATCTCCTTTTCACCTCTCCTTTGTTTTCTCATTCTTGACTTCATCTTATTCTCTTTTTTTTTTTTTTTTTTTTTTTTTTTAATAAGGCTAATTCTTTAAGCCCAACCAATTCAATTACCTGTCAATTCTGGACAGGACCCCCCCCCCCCCTGTTTCTATCTTTGACGCCTAGTCATCTCGTCAGTGAAGTGTGAGGTTGGAGCAACCTCCTTTTCACCTCTCCTTTTTTTCTCTTATTCTTGCCTTCATCTATTCTTTTTTTCCTTTTCTTTTTTTTTTTTACCTGCTTATGATGTTCTCGTCTTGGAATCTCTCTCCTCCTCTCGATCCTATACCGGTCCCTTTTCTCCTCGCCGTCTCCTCTCTCCTATCCTCGACTTTTATCTTCTCCTCTTCTCCTCTTCTCCTCTTCTCTCCTTATCCCTTCTCTCTTCTGTTCTCTCTTTTCTCTTCGTCTCATCTCTCCTCCCGGTTGTTCTCTTCACCTCTTCTTCTCCTCGTCTTCTATCTTCTTGTCTCGTTTCTGTTCTCTTTTTCTTCTTTCTCTGCTCTCTTCTCTCTTCTCCTTGTCCTTGCTCTCTTCTCCTTGTCCCTCCTTGCTTCTCTTTTTCTTCTCCTTACCGTTTCTGTCTTGTTTCCTCCTCACTTCTCTTTTCGTTCTCTTTTTTTTTTTTTTTTTTTTTTTTCGCTCTTGCTCTTCCATCGTCTATCTTCTCCTCATCTATTCTCTCTTGTATCTCTTTTGCTCGTCTCTTCGGTCTTCTCCTCGTTTAGTCTCACTTCCCATAGCTTCTGTCATCTCTTTTGTCCTCGTTTTTTCTCTCTCCTCCTTTTGTTCTTCTCCTTTTTCTGTTCTTCCATCTTGCTGGAGTTTGCACTCGTTCGCGTTCCTGTTTTGTTGGTTTATACCCCGTGTTCTCGTCTTGGGGCGTATCTCCTGCCTCTCCTGTCTGCGAGTGCCGTTCCCCGAATAGAACGTACGGTCATTATGCCTGTATTTGGGGCAATTTTCAGTCTAGATGCAGTGATAATGACCGTACGTTCGATTCGGGGGAAGACGGGTAGCCTTTCTGCATCTTGCTACGGAACCCCCGACTTGGTGAGCAGCTTCTGCTTCTCCTCTCGGCGGGCGAGGGGGGAGCGATAAGGCATGAAGTGAATTACCCAGGAGGATAAAGAAGAGAGAGGAAAGAGAAGGGCATAGAGAAGAGAGGAGAGAGAACAAAGGAAAGAGAAGTGGAACGACAAAACAGAACAGAGGAGGAGAGAAAAAGGAGAGGAGATGAGGGATGTAAGAGAGGAGGAGAGTAGAGAAGAGAGAGAAGAGAATAGAGAGAGAAGAGGAGAGAGAAGAGATGAGGAATGTAAGAGAGGAGGAGAGAGAAGAGAAGAGAGAGAAGAGGTGAGGAATACAAGAGAGGAGGAGGGAGAAGAGAAGAGAAGAGAGAGACGGGAAGAGAGAGGAGAAATGAGGGATGTAGTCGCTCCCGGTATTTTGTCGTTGCGGCATGTCTGGCATTTTTTTCCTTCTCTTGCCTTACTGACATAGGGAACGGCTTCCTCGCTATTTTTTCTGCTTTCGATGACCAATTGCATGGCTCTCTCCTCTACCTCCACGGTTTTGCGCGGGAACGGCTTGGATTTCACCTCCACCTCCACGTTTTTGCGCGGGAACTGCTTGGCTCTCTCCTGCTCGCTCCACGCTTTTGCGCGGGAAGGACATCATCCCATTGTCTTGTGCTTGTCACACGGTGTTTTCTTGCTTCTACGTGCAGATCACTGCTGCGATGACGAAGTCACACACTATGTCACGCCAACATCACACAGCAAATCACTCTGCCATGTCGCGCAGTGTGGTGATAAGTCACTATCGATGTCGCATAGCGTCACGCAACGTCACATTATGTCGTGCAACGCCACACAACGCCACCGAATGTCACAGCTGCACGTCACCCTCCCCTTGCCTCGCCTCGTCGCACGCTCCTCGCCTCGTGGCACGCTCCTCACCGTGTCGCACGCTCCTAACCTTGTCGCACGCTCCTCGCCTTGTTGCACAATAGGCTTTTTGTCGCATGGCGTGCCGTTGTGTGTGGCATTGCGAGGCAGATCGTATTGTGATGTTGCAACTTCAGCCATACTGTGCGACGCAGGGTGGCTGAAGTGGACATCGCTCGCACGCCAGTCCGTGTGACGATATCATCACGCTCCGTGGCTTGTTGCCGTGTGGCACGCCGCTGTGTGTGGTGGTGCGCGACATCCCGTATTGTGATTTTGCGTGACACTCACAGTGCGACACTGGCTCAAATTTACAAGTCCTCACCTTCGCCTTGTTTGGGCGACATTGTGGCGCTGCGTGACACTGTGCGACATAGCGTGGCTGGCCTTGGCGCACGAAGATTTTTGTGGCGGTGCGCGGCATACCCTATTGTGATGTCCGTGACACTGTGCGACACAGCGTGACTGAAGGAGACAATTCCACGCCTTCGTCTTGTCGCACACTCTTTTGTGTGACGTTGCGCGACATATTGTGAAACTGCGTGCCACTCGGCAGCACAGCGTGACTCAAGGTGACAACACCTCGACTTCACATTGTCGCACGCGATGTCAGAGGACATCGTGAATGCCGCACATCGCGCCGCACATCACAGCCCGGTGCTTCATGTTGGCATTTCGCTAGGTCATGCCGCAGCAGGGTGCATGCCAGGCCAGGAACGCCCATTACGGGATCGAAGAAGGGAGCTGGAAGGTGGATAGATCCCATCTTCATCTTAACAGCCTTTGCTGTGGAAGGAGTCGTGTTTCGGGGTATTTCGTAGGAACTCCAGCAATAGCAAACAACAAATAGCAAATAGCAAATAGCAAATAGCACAAGGATCGTTTGGGGAGAAAGAAGAGTAGATACAGTAGTAGGTAGGGTGTGCGATCCCGTGGCCTTCGGTCTCAACCACTCTTCACTCTCCTCAGCTCTCTTCCCTTTTATCTGCGCTTGGCGGCGCTTTCTCTCGTTTCCACTGGAAAAAAAAATTGTCTGCTGTTTTGATTTCCTCACAAAACCCTGCTGCAGGGTGCGCTCACATGCGGCTGCGCAATTTTGCAGTAGGTTGAGGGTATCCCGGCCGATACGAAGCCAGGGTGCGTTCACATGCGGCCGCGCAATTTTGCAGTGTGCGTCAGAAATGGCCTAGCATCGCTTCGCATCGCATGGCTCTTCCCGTGCAACACGTCAGGAAGGGGATTTTGAATCCTAATGTTTTCTAAGATATATTGTTCTCTTAAAAAAAAAAAAAAAAAAAAAAAACTTCTCTTAATGTGGAAGCGATCATGGGTGTTCGGCTCCTATGAGTTGCCGTAAAGGGGGTCCGGGGGTGAGGAAAGGGGGGTGTGGGCGGGTAGGGGAAGGCGGGGTACAAAGGTTGTATCCCTTGGTTGGCTTAAAGGGGTTATGGAGGCTAGTGTAGGCTATGGCGTGCGTTGTTTCTTCATCACTTTCGCCACCTTTGTATTTGCATTGCAGCCCTTCCACCCACTTTTGTATTTGCGTCGCTGCCCCTGGGTATTCGTCTTCTCATCGCTTCCCGCTGCTATCTCCTTGTCCTGCCTGCTCCGCCTCCGTTGCCCTCCTTGTCATGGTGTTAGCCTCTCCATCTCCCTTCTCTCTCCCTTGCCCATCGTATCCCTCTGCGCACTTGTGCTTGCGTCAATCCGGTTGTCCCGCGCTGTCTGTTACCTCTATTCCTCACCCAACAATGGTACACCCGATCCTTATAGCTGTTTCTGGACACGTTTCAGTCCAGATGCAGCGATAATTTTCTGCACTTGCGCGCCATTTTCTTCCCGTTCCTTGTCGTGGTGTTAGCTTGTTCATTTTTTCTCTCTCCCCTGCGCGTCGCGTCGTATCCCTCTGCGTACTTGCGCGCTTGCGTCAATCCGGTTGTTCCACCCTCTGTTGCCTCTATTCTTCATCCCCGCCATTCCTCCCCCTTCTTGTCATAGTGTTAGCTTCTCCATCTCTCTTCTCTCTCCCTTAGCGCATCGTATCCCTCTGCGCCCCCTCAACCCTGAAAAGTGCATTGGAGATCATTTTTTTTAGTTTTCTGTGTTTGTTTTTTTTTGCCCTGTTTTATTTTTGGTCAAGGTCTGTGTGTGCCAAGTTTGGTGTTTGTCAAGGTCTGTCCTGGAGTTGACTATTTTGGCTAGCCCTGAAAAATCCTGAAAATCCTGAAAACTGAAATGAGTGAATTTTGCATGAAAACACACTTTTGCCTTGCTGTTTTTTATCTTTTTAAAATTCTTTTTTCAATTTTGTTTTTGTAAGTAGTTAGTATCATCTCCACTCTATGAATTGGTGGCAAGTTTGGTTAAAACGACCCTTGGGTTTTGTTGGGTTTTGTTATAAATGGCCTGACACGTGGTCTGAAAATTGAGGCAGGCCTCCCCGTTAACCGTCTCTCCTCTTACCTCTCAACCTTTCCTCCCCCTCCTTGTGTTCTCGTGATAGGCTCTCTTCACTCTCAACTTGCCTGCGTGTTGCACATGCTCGCCTCAAATCGGTCGCTTCGACCTTTCTGGTCCTTAACTCCTCCCCCTCCTGTGCCTTCTCGCTTCTCCCTTCTCTCATGCAAGTTTTGCATTTTCTCTTCCACTCTGTCTTAGTTTCTTTGTCTCACAAAAAAATGGGCCTTTGCTCGATTCTCGCGTGTCATTCTTTTCCTTTCTTAAAGGGCATGGCCTTGAGATATGATCATCAAACTGACCGACCCTAGGTAATTCAGGACCGACCCTAGGTAATTCAGGATTGTAGTATTCCCACTCACGTGCTTCCAGTGGAGTCCGAACTCAGGTGGTCTGTATTTTTATTTTTAACAGTTGAGGGGTGTACCAACTGAGCTTCCTTCTTCCCTCGAATAGAACGCACGGCCATTTTCGCTGCATCTAGACTGAAAGGTGAGCCAAATACGGCTCTATTTCGTCGTCGGAGGGGC